AGGCTACAGAGCTCTGTGATCTTGGGCAAGTAATTTAACCTTTGTTTGTTTCAGGACCCTTAGCAGAAAAAGACCCCAAAAAACCAACCAACCAACCAACCAAAAAACCTCCAGATGTTTGTAGGCACAGGGCAATACACCAAGTTTATTCAGATTTGGGTACTGGGAGGGTGCCCAGGACTGTATTTTTTAGTACTGGGGACAGAACCCAGGGCTTTGCAAAGGCTAAGCATATGTTCTCTCTCTGAGCTCTACAGCCCTAGAATTTGCTCCTTTTTCTAAAAATTTAGGTTATTTATTTAATGTGTATGAGTGCTTTCCTTACCTGTTTGTATGTAAGTGCACCAACATGCATGCACAGAGACCAGAAGACGAAGTCTGGAGTTATGGATGGTTGTGAGCCACCATGTGGATGCTGGGAACTGAGTCCTCTGCAAGTGCTCTTAACACGGAGCTCCTTGGGGATGTGGAACAGTAGGCCCCACTCTCACTGGGAGGAGAAGGGGCAGATGTCCCCCAGCCCCAGGAAACAGCCACGTGTCCCTATGATTCATCTTTCCTAGGATTCTTTTCCCACAGCCACACAACTGGTGGGGCACACTGTAGATGAGCCCCTGAGCTGGGCATAGGATAAGAGTTTGACCATACCCGCCACCAGGTCAGTGGGCCAGCCACGGGATGGGACCAAAGAACAATGTGTTACTGGTATGTAGAGAGTCCCACTGTGAAGCCTTGCTAGCTCTGAGCAGGGAAGACCCAGCAGGGTGTGCTCAGACTTGGGGCATCAGCAGAGTAGCCAGGATGAGGGAGAGTAATAGTGGAGTGTCAGAGAGATGCTGACCAAAAGATGTAGGGTCTCCCCAGGACATGATGGCACATGGCCCTGATCTTAGCACACAGGAAGGTAGAAGGATCAGGAGTTCAGGGTCATCACTGGCTATATAGCAAGTTCCAGGCCAGTATGGACTGTGTGGGACTTTGTCTCAAAAAAAAAAAAAGTAAATAAAAAATAAGGGAGCTGGAGAGATGGCTCAGAGGTTAAGAGCACTGGCTGCTCTTGCAGAGGACCTAGTTTGGTTCCCAGACCCACATGGTGGCTAACAATCGTCTCTTCTGGTCTCTGTGCATGCATGTGGTGCGCTTACATACGTACAAGTAAAGAAAGCATTCATACACATAAACATTAATTTAAAAAATCATAAATAGGCTGGCGTGGTGGTGCACACCTTTAATCCCAGCACTCGGGAGGCAGAGGCAGGTGGATCTCTGTGAGTTCAAGGCCAGCCTGGTCTACATAGTGAGTTCCAGGACAGCTGGAGCTACAGGGAGACCCTGTCTTAAAAAGACCAAAAAAAAAAAAAAAAAAAAAAAAAAATCACAAATAAAAAATAACCCCAAAAGCACCAGGTCCTGCCTTCTTGGGAACTGGACACAGAGTGTACGCCACGGGCTCTCTTCACAGAGGAGAGGGACAGCCCTCCACCTGGAGAGTCTCTACATGAGGCTGGAAGGGTCTACGACCTATCAGACTTTGTGACAGGAACTTCATTGGGGCAGTGTGGGTAGTCCTTCCCCACCCCTCAAGGCAAGGCCACCACAAGGGTAGAACTTGGGCAAGGAAATGTTAGGTCTGGGGTGCGGCTCAGAGGTAGGACATGTGCCTGGCTACAAGAGGCTGTGGCTTCAGCCCCAGAACACTAACACTAACAACAACAGCAGGGAATCTGCAGCTGGCGGGAGGCTGGGATTTCCACCTCTTAGGCTGTAGCCCTGCCTCCGTCTCCAGAGCTCTCAGGAACAACAGGGAGCACAAATGAAAGGTGGGCTCCCGGAAACACCCCTCCAGCAGAGGCTGCTCCCTTCACCAGAGAAGGGAGAAGCCCTCATCCCAGGCCCTCCTCCAAGAGCTTCCAGAAGCCCAGAGTCCGGGAGGGAGCAGGGGTGGGCCCCCAGAACTTCTTTCCCACCTTCCTTCAGTGCCATACTCAGCCACAAGGTGGCTCCTCTGGAGGTGGGGAGGTGGTGACTGAGTACCCGAGTTCCCAGCAGAGCTGACCCGGAGCTCAGGGACAGCCGGGCCCCTACTCGGAGCTGGATCCCTCCTCCTTCAGTCACTGCAGAGCTTCCGACATTTATGGCCTCTGAGTAGGGTGTCCTTGACACTGACTCACCACCCTAGTTTCTGATTGTTCCCAGAAAGAACACAAAGTTCCGTCGAGCAGGTCCTCGCCAAGATCCCCTGACATGCTCACCACAATTCCCTGCGCCAGAGGGTCTCCTTCAACAGTCCTGCCCCTCACCCCAGGGCCCTTTGCACGTGCTGTGTTCTTGGAATCCTACACTGTAAGATTTAAGAGCAGTGGATTTCAGCGTTTGCTTCTTAATGTTGGGGTGCTGGACGTATGATAGTACCCTGTAAGTACTGGCTGACTTATCCCCTTACATGCCAGGCATGCTGTGGGCACTTTCATTGTGCGTGTGTATGACTGTGTGTGGTGTATGTGGAGGTATGTATGCATGCGTGGAGGGCTGAGGAGGACTCTGGATGTCCTCCTCTATCACACCCGCCTTATCCTCTTGAGACAGGATCTCTCTAGAGACCCTGCAGCCAGCAAACCCCAGGGATCCTCTGATCCTCCTTTCTCTGCCATCACAGCACAGAGGTTACAGGCACACACGCACACACAGTCATGCCTGACTTTTCTTTACGTGGGTATTGGGGATTTGAACTCAGGTCCTCATGCTTGCACAGCAAGTGCTCTTATCCACCCAGCCATCGCTTTAAGTCCCCCAACGTTCCAGTGTGATCAGAGGCAGTGACTGTCCACGCAGAACACGGGCTGCACCTGCACCCACACCTGCCCGCTTGTTCTTATCACATGCCTGGTTTATGTGGACACAGAGGAAGCTCAGCTCAGAGCCTAGAGCCTCAGTCCAAGTCCTAAGTGGGGTAAGCACACTCGGGGCAGCACACTGGCACAAGGGGTGGCACAGAGTGATCTTCTAGACCCTCCACTCTGCCCCCCCACAGTGTGTCCTTCAGCGCCTTAGCACGCACCAGCATACCTGCATCCCAAACACACCTGTCAGCCCAACCTGGGCCCTGGCTGCAGGGCATCTGTATCTTCCTTCACTTGGATGAGAGTTCTCCAAGGGCAGAGCCTCAGACCGGATGGAACCTTGGGGTGGAGGGTGGAAGTGGGGGTGGGGTGGGGTCTGTGCGAGATGGTACAGAAGAGCACATGGAACCTGACTTTTGGGCACAGCTCCCACAGCTCTCCTCTGTTAATGAGGGGGTTTGCTTCATCATCATGGGCCTAAGCCACACAGACAGGGAGGAGACCCAGAGTTCCCCAAGATATCAGCCTCCTTGCCATCATCACTAACAAACACAGAGAGCCCGAGGCTGTCCTGGCCCTTGTTCCTACCCTGCAAACAGGCAGCTAGGTGAGACCTCAAAGGACCCCATGAGGCCACCCACAACGTCATCAGAGCTCAGCTCAAGGGCTTTCCACCTCTTTCAGGAAGCCCCACCCCACCCAGTTCCCTCCCCAGGGGTTCCTGACTCTTCCTTCCCATGCCATCTCTGTGCTGGGTCTATCTGATTCCAGCCGGCAACGTCTGGAGGTGAACACAGGCTCTGACCAGTGTGGGCATCACAGCCGTGCCTACAAGAATCCTACCTACTTGCTGGCAACGTGCTGGCGAGTCCTATTTGCAAAGAAGAGACCTGTCCAGTTTGCCATCAAAATCACCTGGGGAGGTGCTCAGAGGGTGAAGAGCTCATTGTGCACAAGGACCTGAGTCCAAATCCCAGCAGAAAGGAAAAGGCTGAGTGTGGTGGCGTGTGCTTCTAATCCCAGAGCTGGGGAGGCAGAGGAAGGAGGATGCCTGGGGTGAGGCATCCAGCCTAGCCTACTTGATGAGTTCCAGACCAGTGAGACTTGGTCTTAACAGAACACAAGATAAGTTGGATGTGATGGCACACACTTTTAATCCCAGCACTAGGGGGACAGAGACAGGTGGATCTCTGTGAGACTGAGGCCAACCTGGCCTACATACTGAGCTCCAGGCCAGCTGGGGTTACAGGGAAACCCTGTCTCAGACAGACAGACAAACAAACAAACCAAAACCAGCACACAAGATGGGGCTGGTGAGCTGGTACAGTGGGTAAAGATGTTCACTGCCAAGGCTGACAACCTGAGTTTGATCCCTGGGACCCACATGGTAGGAGGAAAAACCAACACCTCGAGTTGTCCTCTGAGCTCCACTGTGTGTAACGGCCGTGCCCCCCCCAACATGCACACAAAGTAAATAAAAGTAATAAAAAGCTAAGCAAATGAACAAACACAAAACACAAGGTGGATGGCTCCTGAGCATCGACAGTACCCGAGGTTGTCCTCTGACCTCCACAGTTATACACACACGTGTACGTGTGCACATGTACACACGTGCACCCACAGGAACATATACATCATCTGTGGGTGTTCAATGACCTACTTCTACCTGTCTTCAGAGTTGGAGTTTGAGCCCCAGGCTGCGGCGGCTGGTATTGGGGTCTCCATGGGGAGCAGTCAGTGCCTCTGACTCTGGCTAGGGCTCAGGTTCAGGGACTGTGGGTTTAACTTGGCCATGCTCAGAGCAGGGTGACCCCACAATCTCACACCCTTTCCCTGGGCCTCAGCTTCCTCATCTGAAAGTGATGTCTATAGACACCGAGGGATCAAACAGACACATGAGCACTGGCTCAAGACGGCCTTCCCATGGCTCAGTGCATGGCTACAGCCACGTGAGAGGAAGGCTGAAGGTCAGAGCTGCTGGCCACCTCGTCCTGAGACGGTCACTCCCACCTGGGGGACAACCCACATCCAGGGTGTCTCAGAGCCGAGTGCCCTGATGTTTGTTGGCCATGTTGGAAGGGTCCTGCACATCTCTGACTCAGTCAGAAGGGCATGTCTGTCCCTGACAGGTGCGTGACCCACACCGACGCCTCCGCTTACCCCAGAGAGCCATGAACACAGAGAAGAAGACGGTGGCAGGGTTGTCGAAGAGGTGGCTGGCCCGGGCCGTGGCGCACGCTGAGCTCATTTTCCAGTAGCTGCAGGTCTTGTCACACAGGGGACACATGGTGATGTTGTGTCTTTGGTCACACATCTCCATGCTGCAAGACAGGAGCGGCCTCAGGTCCCACACCACCTTCCAGAGGCCATGACGTATGTGTGGGGCATCATGGTAGTTAAGACATGCCAGCCAGCGTTGTCTTCTGAGCCCCAACCTGGCTGCCTTCACAGACCTGTGACCCATGTTGTCACCTGCCTCTGAGTCAGCAGAGCCCCAGGCATCATTCAAGATCCTGCAACCTCTTAGTCTTAACCTCTTGTACTTTGGGGGGAAGGGCTTTGCATGGAGTCATGATTTAACCAGCTCTAGATGCCCAGCCATGTCCACCTTCTCCTTAGAGCAAGAAGAGGTTCCAGAGTGTCCCCTCCGGGTGACCTGGATCAAGATGACACCTAAAGCTGGCACTCCTGCCACCTCCACAGCTCAGGGTTTCCAGCCAGCCTCCCATCTGTCCCTAGGGTCCGTCAAAGCTGTGCCTCTGTGAGCAGAGCCCAGGTCTGTATGTGGCCAGGCTCGGAAGCCCAAGGGAGAGGCAGGGTGATGCAGAGCCAGGAGGTTCTTGCCATGGAGGTCCAGGTCTGCACTGGGTGACCCTGACAGCACTAGGCATCATGCCATAGCCCTCACTGGGCATGCTGGACAGCTGAGAAGATGGAGGAAGGGTGCCCAGGATTCCTCGCTGCGAGGCTGTGCTCAAAAAAGCATGTCCCCAGGTTGCCAAGCACTCTGAGGGGATTGCTTAGGAAGCAGGTGTCTGCCAGGGGTGGCAGGTTCTGGCAGGTCCTGGTCAACAGAGCATAGGCTCAACAGGATCCCATGCCAACGCTCCAGAAGGAGCTTTGAGAACGCCAGGCCGTAGCACGGACTCTCCTCCTGTCATGCTAACACACCCTGAAACCTACAGGCAGACAAGGGGGGACCCCCATCACTGGCCTGATCCAGCACTGGGGTGGGGGTACAGTACTGCAATCCTATCTTCATAGATGGGAAAAGGAGCCCAGAGACGAGAGGTTAGTACCCTAGGAACACACAGCACAGAGAGACAATTGAACCGTGATCTCTGAATCGACAGAGCCTGGTGCTCGGAATGGCTCTCGGGGTCACGGCCCCCTTCCCACTGAGGTAGGACTCCCAGGATGGGTCCGTGTCCTCACGCAGTGACCCCACTGAAGTCCTGTAGTTTCAAACTCAAGAGTTTCTTTTTGGAAAATGAGGAGGGGGACACAGTGCTTCAGCCAACGGCCTGTCCTGAACTCTCTCCTTCCTGCGAACTTGGACTAGACCCTGATCTATAAATAGATGCCCAGGCTGGAGAGCTCATTTCCAGGGGTCAGATGGCCATCTGGAGAAGACTCAAGTGGGTATTTTTGATTTTCCTTTGTTTTTCAGATTTTGGGATCCACACAAACTTGTGCTGGCATTCCCGCTGAATGTCAGGGACCCTCCACTGCTCCCAGTTCTGAGGACACTGGCTCTGGTCTCTTTTTTCAGTAAGTCACTAGATGCTTAAAAGCACACACACAGCAAGAAAGACAGTATGAGTCCAGGCCGTCATCCAGGCTATCTGGGGAGATATGTGTCTACACACGTTTGTGTGTATACCCACATGTGGGAGGGGCAGGAGAGGAGTGGGCACATGGGGAAGAGGAGACATGCGTTCCAGAGCCCGAGGTTCGAGGCTGGAGTCTCAGGTCTGGAATATGTGACTGGGCAGGGTGCTGAGTCCTTCTGCCTCAGTTTCCTTGTCTGCCTAGCAGGATGCTAACATGATATCGGGCTGCTGGAAGAGTGTGGCAAGATGGAGCAGCATGCGTGTCTCTTCCAAGGGTGTCTGGTGCACCTCAGTACACACACGGCCACCACTAGGGGTCCCTTCTGAGAGCACATGATACTTTAAAACAGCCCAGGGCCTTGAGGGGACCACCTCGCCTCTCACGAAGGCAGATGGGAGACAGGATGTTAGTTGTGAGTGGCCTGAGCCCCTCTCCCAGGGAACCGGTGGGTGGAAGGTCATTCCTGCCACCTCAGCACTTGTCCAGCGCCATGAGGTCTGCTTGGCCCAAGGCTGGGGGAGCCTGGAGGGCCTGAGGGGTGGCCTCAGGGACAGAGCGCGCCAAGGCACGCTTCCGCCCATAAATGTCAGCAGCTAGACAAAAAGCCTTTTTCTGTAGGCCTTAAACTCAGCCAAAGTTAAGACTCCAGGCACGAAGGTCTGTTCTTCAGAGCAGACGGAGGGGCAGGGCACTGCAGGGTGGCACCATGCTGGCTGCCTGCAACCTCAGCCTGGTGGGACACACTCCAAGGGAGACTGTGTGCCATGCAAGACTCCAAGTGGGACAGAGGCCAGGGTCGGGACAGGCCTGCATGCTGGCTTTGTGCCCCTGGCTAATGGCTGCTGGTCTTTCTAATCATGTGATCTAAGGTGGTCAAAGACCTTGGTACCCTCTCCTGGGGAGGCCACACCCTGAGTTGGCAAAGCTTTCTGCTCAGGAGAATTGTGGGGAGGCACCCCCCAACTCGACCCCCTGCTTCCCATGGGCTTTGAGCTCCTGCAGCTGGCAGCCAGCCTTGCTACCCCTGAGTCTCAGACCCTTCAATCAGTGCCAGCAGGGAACGCAGGATGGAGACTTCACGTCATCCACACGGACAAAGGAATGAGTTATGTCCAGCTTAGGACCAAAGCAAGCTGACAGAGGGCTGAGCTGGCGTCCGGGTGGGTGGAATAGCGAAATCATTATCTATATTTTAAGATATCACTGGAGGAACTGGGGGGACAGCTCAGCAGTTAAGAGCACTGGCTGCCTTGCAGAGGACCCGAGTTTAGTTCCTAGCACCCATGTGGTGGCTAACAACCATCCCTAACTCCAGTTCCAGGGCTCTGATGCCCTTTTCTGCCCTCTATGGGCATTGTACGTATGAGCGCACTTACACATATGCAGCCAAAGCACTCATACACATAAGATAATAAACATCAAAAATTGGTCAGCAACAGCCTTTCTGGAACAGGGAGAGCTTGCCTCCTGCCAAGCTGACAGACACAGGGCTGTGTTCTAAACCACAGCCAGCCTCATGTCAGAGACATTGAGAAAATCCTAGAGCCAGCCTCCAGGCAGGACCAGCTCGAATCTGGAGTCGCTGTGTAGCCTCAGGGCAGCCACTCAGGGTGCTGTCTCCCACGGAGCTGGGGCTGCTGCCTACCTGGGGATGTTTTCGTCCACAGTGGCACATCCATAGAGGAAGACGATGACGCCCACAATAGAGGCAGGGATGAGCATCTGGGTGTAGGCCCCCAGCCAGGCAAAGTACAGGCCGATCTTCTCCCCGAAGTACTTTCTGCATCAAAGAGACCAGCTTACTCACACTCCAGACCCTGGGGACATGCCACATCCCCCCAGCAAGGAACAACTCCAGCTGGGATCTGGGGTACCTCATCAGCTTTGGGGTACTCTGTTTTTCTATACACCCTTATTTGTCTCTATTTTTTTTTCCAGTACTGGGTTTGAAACCAGGGCCTCACACATGCCAGGCAAGTGCTCTACTACTGAACTATACCACCAAATCTCTCTCTCTCTCTCTCTCTCTCTCTCTCTCTCTCTCACACACACACAGTTTCATGTATCCCAGGCTATTCTCAAACTCACTATATAGCTGAAGATGACCTTGAATTCATTTATCTTATTTTATTTATTGATTTATTGATTTATTGATTTATTTATTGAGACAGGTCTTCCTGTATCCCCAGCTGTCCTGGAACTCACTATGTAGACCAGGCTGGCCTTGAACTCACAGAAATCTGCCTACCTCTGCCTCTGCTGGGATTAAAGGTGTGCTACCACAGTCAGCTTTCATTTATTTTTGAGACAGGGCCTTACTATGTAGCCCCGGCTGGCCTCCAACTCACTATGTAGACCAGGCTGGCCTCAGACTCACGGAGATTTGCCTGCCTCTGCCACCTCCTGAGTGATGGACTTTGAATTTCTGATCCTCCTGCCTCTACCTTCCAAGTCCTGGGGTTACTGAGCGCCACCACACTTGGTTTACGAAGTGCTGAGGACTGAACCTAGGGTTTTAGACATGCTAGGTAAGCACTTTACCAGCTGGGCTATATCTCCAGTCTCCTCTTTCTTTTTGAGACAGGGTCTTGCTACATAGCCCAGACTGGCTTTGAAATCATTTTGTAGCCCAGGCTATCCTCAAACTCCTGACCCTCCTGCCTCAGCCTTCCAAATGTTGTGCCACTAGGTCTGGCTCTGCCTTTCCTCTGTGCCCTAGGGAGGGGTGCACTTCTGAGGCCGAGGCCCATTGCTGATGGGCGTGATGCATCTCCTGAGCCTGTGGGCTCCAACCCAAGTCCCATTAAGGGCTGAAGGGAGGTACTAGAGCCTGGAGCTACCAAGTAAGCCAGTCACTCCTCCTACAGAGTTGCTGGCCCTCCATGGCCGCTGTGTGCTGTCACTGGTCAGACCCCGGTCTACAAGGGTCCGAAGGACCGACGGCCCAGCTGGCTGCCTATACTGCTTGCCTTGAGGGACAGGGTCCTCTTACATGTGGTTAGGAGTTCTCACTCATTTCAAGGCAGTCCCCTTGACATCCCAAAGTACAAAAACTCAGCCAATGCCCTACTGGCCCAGCCACGGAGGAGTCAGGCAGAGATGGCCAATGTGGCCCTGACAGCAGACATGACTAGCCAGCTTTACCGACCCACTTTACTGACACTGCAGGGAAACCTGGATGGCCCACACAGCCTTCGGGTTCAAACAGGTTTCCAGGCAGCTGAATATCCAGAGAGGTTGCTACACCCAGGGTCTTTACCAACCCAACGTATTTGGAGCCCTGCTTCCCGCTGCCTGAGAGGCCAGGTTCCCCACTCACCTGACTAGGTCAATGGGTTGGTACTTGTAGAAGACACCGTAGCTTGCCCATTCCTCGTAGAGGAGCTGGAGAGAGGAAGGGACAGGGAGGAGTTGATGTGGGGACCCACACTGAGGTTGCCCCCTGGACAGAACTGTGGGGGCCTTGGGTAGCCTGTTCATCATTCACTTAACACACCCTTCAGGAGTGCCAGCCAGGGAGCCCTCCTTCTGGGTGCAGATGGGGGTGGAAAAGATGCTTCTAGAACGTTATAGAATCTAAGCCTTATATGATTGGATTGGGAATTCATCTATGATATGATACTGTGAGGTCACTCTGTCAGATACCAAATCATTTATTATATAAAGAACATTAAACCACCAGGGGTTCAAATAGCTATATGAATGGCAAAATTGAAAGAAGACCTCCCAAGATCCAGAGCTAGCCTGAGGCTCATCTCCCGAGACCCACCGTCTGATTAGCATCTGCCATGAAAGAAATGAGACCAGGGCCAGTTAGATGGCTCAGTGGGTAAAGCCGCTTGCTGCCAAGCCTGACGACCTGAGTTCGATCCCTGGGACCTATGTGGTGGAGGGACAGAACCAACTCCTGAAAGTTGCCATCTGACTTCCACATACATGTCCACAGACATGCATACATACACGTACAATAAATGTATGTAATAATAAAAAAAATGGGACCAGCTCTCACCCTGCTGTCCCTGGGCTGTTGGCAGGGACCTAATGAGTCCAGAACACAGAAGCCTTGTGGAGACACATGGAGGGTGTGTGCTGATTAAAACAACCCCACGTGTGCGGACAGATCGAACGTTACCAAGCTTCATTTACACCAGCTCCTACATCACATCCTCCAGCTGCAGGCCACTCACAGGGAGGGACCCATGGAGCAGAGTGGCCCAGGATCTAGAGCAGATGCCTGTTAGAGGGGAGACTAGCTGCCCCACTGCTTGGCTCAGAGCCTCTTCCCTGGACCAGATTACCTTTCTAGTATAAAGTGCAGGGTCACAGAGAGGAAGAAGGAACTCTCTGAAGTATCTAGCGTTTCATCCCCCAGTCCCAAGAGCTGACACGGGCTGCCGCCTGAGCACCTTGCTTGGGGTTCTGTGGGGGTGCTGATGTACTACATACTACACAGATTCCCCACTGGCAGGCAGAGAGGAATCCCCCTGTTGGCCATTCTCACCCCTCTCTCCATGCACACAAGGGGATCAGGGGATGTGTGAGTGGAGGGAAAGACCCGAAGGAAGTCTCTCATGATGTGTGGAGGGGGAGGAAGGCGGCTGCTTGCAAGTCAGGGTGTGCACCCAGTGGGCTGTTCTCCTGGCCAGCTGAGCCTCCCATCTGTTTCAGCCTATCTGTGGCATTTAGCTGTGGCATCCAAACTGCCCAAGATGTCCTCTCCCAACTCAGGAGGTCTGCAGCTGAGTAGAGAGACCGATTCAGTGCATCTTTGAAGATGAGAGATGGGCAGGCAGCATGGGGCCCCTCTTCCACACAAGGAGTCCCCTGGAGGGGGGGGTCTCTACTTTTTCCAAGTCTTGTGTGTCTCAGGCTGGCCACGAATTTGCAAAGTACTTGAGGATTACCTTGAACTCCTGATCCTCCTGTCTCTACTGTCTGAGCAATAGGATTACAGGTGTGCGACCACCATGCCCAGTTTATGCAGTAACAGGGATTGAGCCCAGGACCTTGTCCATGCTAGGCAAGCACTCTACCAACTGAGTTCCATCCCCAACCCCTTCTTGGGGCTTCTGCAGCTCTGAAATTAACAATGAGAACTCTATTTCACTCACAGGCAGCCTACACACCTCTAAGAAGCAGGGGAGAAAGAAAAAGAAAGAGCCGCCTGTGCGGAGTAGCTGGGGCTTCCTGCTGGGCTGACTCCCACAATACCCTCGGTCCCCAGCCGCCTGCGAGGCTTCCCTGGAGGAACCTGTGAGCAGACAGTGCCATCTTCTTCTCCGCTGTCACTACGGGAGATTGATGGCTCACGCATATCAATGTGATCTGTGCAAAAGGATGCCTGTTGGATATCTAGTGATGTAGATGCAGGAGAAGGCTAGACTTCTCCACAGAGAGCAGGGCAGGCCCCGAGCCTTGAGGAACCTATATGACACCCTTGGCAGCTGACACATTGCTCTTATCATAGACTGGCTCATGGGGGGGTCATCATAGGGGAAAGAGGGAGACCAGGGGTAGACAACAGGAGACCTAGGGGTGGGGAGGGAGAAGACAAAGAGGACAGAGGCAGGGAGATACAGTTAAGGGGAAGGAGAGAAAGAGGGAAGAAGGAGGGGAAGATAGAAAGGAAGAGGAGGGGGAGGAGGAGAGGAGGAGGAAGAGGAGGGGGAGGAGGAGGAAGCGGAGGGGGAGGAGGAAGAGGAGGAAGAGGAGGGGGAGGAGGAGGAGAAGGAGGAAGAGGAGGGGAGGAGGAGGAGGAGGAGAGGAGGAAGGGAAGGAGGAGGAAGAGGAAGAGGAAGGGGAAGAGGAGGAGGAGGAGGAGGAGGAGGAGAGATGCAGTTGGGGAGAGGAAGGGAGGGGACCGCTGAACTAGGGTGAGGACCCAGACAAACATGCACAAGGAACCACAAGGTACAAGGGTACAAATTTCCTGAAACCACCCTTGTGGGGATGTGACCACTCATGTGGTCACCGTCATGGGGCCTGGCTGTCCTGCAGGACCTCCACAGGCTCGGCACCATCCTGACAGAGGCCAGGGAGACGTCCCTGGGTTCTACATAAACACCACACTGTGAACTCTGTCTGCCACGAGGGAACCTCCCTCATTGTCACTGTCAGGCATAGAGTTCACCTGGAGAGTCACTAATGCCCCTGGGAGAAGCCCAAGGACCCAGTTGGCCTCAGTCAGCCTGGGGAGGAGTTGGGCCCAGGTGAGTGGGCTGTGGACCTCAGCAGGCAGGGCCCAGAGCAGGGACAGTTTTCAGTAACTGATGAATAGATGAATAACGGGTTGAACCTGTGGCTCTTACTCCAGCACAGGGGTGGGACAGACTCCAGTCACACTCCCTGCACACCTCCTATGCCCCCTAAAACCCCTGCCTAGGGATCTGGCTGTCTCCTGCTCTGTGGGACCCTCACTGGCCTTGTCTCTAGGAGCCCTGGCAGGAGGAGCCAGCAGCTGGCTGCTGGGACACCTCTTGTACACATACACAGCCCTTGGGGTTCCAAAGTTTGATGAGGTTTGCCTTTGTGTAGGTTGGAAGTTGTTGCTGGCCTGGGAGGAGGAGCCTGGACAGAGGCCCCCAGTGACTGTGATCTAGGCCAGGCTTGTAGTGAGGCTGTTCTGAGCCCGGCCCACACCTATTTTTGGCAGAAATCTCACTGCCCCCCTAGTTCAGCCCAGGAAGATGTCCTGCTGTGCTTCACCTCTTTGGTCCTGTGAGGTACTTGGGACCAGGCTCCTGAGACGCCCACTCATCCATCCGTGTACCAATTCATCTTTATATCCATCCATCTACCTATCTTGCCCCCACTTATCCATCCACCCATCATTCATCCATCCATCTACATACCGTCTGTCTATCTATCTATCTATCTATCTATCTATCTATCTATCTATCATCTATCTTCCATTCATCCACCCACCCATCCCCCCATCCCCTATCCATCCATCCATCCATCCATCCACCCATCCACCCACCCACCCATCCATCTATCCATCCATCCATCCTCTCATCCATCTTATCTACCTACCCTGTCACCCACTTATCCGTTCATCTATCCATCCATCCACCCACCCACTTATCTATCCATCTATCCATCTGTCCATTCACTTATCCATCTATCTATCCATCTATACATAAACCTATCTACCCACTTTTCCATCCATCCATCCATCCATCCATCCATCCATCCATCCATCCATCCAATCCCCCCACCCACCCATCCACCTACCCATCCACCCATCCACTCATCCATCTATCTTATCTACCTACCCTGTCACCCACTTATCCATTCATCTATCCATCCACCCACCCACTCATCTATCCATCTATCCATTCACTTATCCATCTATCTATCCATCCACTCATCCATCCATCCACCCTGTCACCCACTTATCCATCCATCTATCCATCCATCCATCCATCCATCCATCTATCCATCCATCCACTCACCTACCTATCTATCCATTCACCCATCTACCCATCCACCCACCCACCTATTATTATTTTGGGGTACTCAATGGCCCAGGCCTTGCACTCTTTGCTGGGATGTATAATTTACTGGAGTGAGAGTATGTTCCAGATAGAGTTAACAGTTGGGCCTGGATAACCTGGAGCTATGTTGGTTGGGCCTGGCATGTGGTAGTTACTTGAAGAAGTGACTAAGATATTTCTGACAGATGTGACCATCAGCTGAGTAGAACTGGAAATAGCTAGTCGGCCAGTGTGCTCTAGGGAGAGGAGGGGGTTAGGATGGAGAGGCCTGGGACCCAGAGGGCAGAGATCAGACAGAAGGGGGTGGCTCTGCTCATGGAGGAAAGGCCTCAGCCAAGAAGCTGAGATTCAGGGCACAGGGCGGGTAAACTCAGGCCAGAGCTGGCCAGGGCAGGTCCACAGAGTGGGATTGGATGGGGAAGTTCTGAGGGTCATGGGGTCTCAGATGAATGCCAGATGGGACACTAAAAATAACCAAATATGTAATTTTAATGCTAAATCAGATAACATCTTCAGCTAGATTCCCGGGCAGGCAAGTCACATCAAGTACCAAAGGCTTGAAAACAAGTCTGGGGCTGGAAGAGTCTGGAAGGGGAGGATGTCCCTCCAAGAGGTCCCTGGGGATGTAAGGACAAGGACTTCATTGTGAGAGTGACCTGGGGCAGAGGTGCAGGGAGGGTCCCTGCCCAGAAGTGGAACCTGCATTTGTTTGGGGAACAGAGAGGCTTTGGACTCAGTGCAAAAGCAGGCATGGGATGGGGACTTCCTGAGTGTGGAGCAAGTGACTAGGGGGGGAGATGCTTCCACAGGGGCAACTTCTTGGGGAGTCCCCTGTGCAAAGTGAGGTTTGGACAGCTGGGGAAATGGCTAAGAAGGGGATGGCACACAGTAATTCCCACAGAGTGCTCTATAAAACACCTGCTCAGTAATTTCACTAGTCCAAAGGGGTCCAAGATGGTAAGTTTGAACACCATCCAACAGATTCCCTGGAGTCCTTGGGGACTGTGGCTTTGCACAGCTGGTCACTGTGAGCCCATGTTTACTGATCCTGGAACACGCGGACTGAGGCCTGGTAACTTCAACAAGTCGGGGTGAGGAGCCAGGGGCATAGTTCCACGTGACCCCCATAAGACAGAGGTCCCCAGAAGCTGGAGGGGGAGGAAGGGGAGGAGGGAGCGGTAGAGGGGCGTGCTCTTTCTTCCCCACCTACAGGCACCTGCTGCGGCCCTTTAAGCGACTTTCTTCCTGGATGTGGGAAGAAAACTGAGGCAGCCTCAGCGGTCCACTGCTCAGTCAGTTACAGGAAGTGCACTGCAGCGTGACCCACAGCACGCACGCCTCTGCGGCCGACCCTCCAGGACACAGCCTGCTGCCTCCCATCCCTGCAACACAGTCACTTCCGTTTTGCTTCCTCCACTTCCTCTTTACATCCCCCACACTTCCTCTCTGCCCCCACACTTCCTCTCTGCCCCCACACTTCCTCTTTACATCCCCACACTTCCTCTTTATGTCCCCACACTTCCTCTTTGTCCCCACACTTCCTCTTTATCCCCTACACTTCCCTACACTTCCTCTTTGTCCCCACACTTCCTCTTTATCCCCTACACTTCCCTACACTTCCTCTTTGTCCCCACACTTCCTCTTTATCCCCTACACTTCCCTACACTTCCTCTTTGTCCCCACACTTCCTCTTTATCCCCTACACTTCCCTACACTTCCTCTTTGTCCCCACACTTCCTCTTTATCCCCTACACTTCCCTACACTTCCTCTTTGTCCCCACACTTCCTCTTTGTCCCCACACTTCCTCTTTATCCCCTACACTTCCCTACACTTCCTCTTTGTCCCCACACTTCCTCTTTGTCCCCTACACTTCCCTACACTTCCTCTTTACATCCCCACACTTCCTCTTTGTCTCCACACTTCCTCTTTGCCCCCACACTTCCTCTTTGTCCCCCACACTTCCCTACACTTCCTCTTTGTCTCCCACACTTCCTCTTAGCCCCCACACTTCCTCTTTGTCCCCCACACTTCCCCACATTTCCTCTTTGTCCCCCACACCTCCTCTTTGTCCCCCGCACTCCCCCACACTTCCTCTTTGTCCCCCACACTCCCCCACACTTCCTCTTTGCTTCCCCACACTTACTTTCCTGTCATTGAACTCGACGTTTTCACCCTCATAGTCTCCCTGCAAAACACGAGAAAAGAAGAGTTCAGACCAAATCACGGCTTGTTCCCGTGGCCTCGTTCCTGACATGTGAGATGGTGTCACTGATGCGGAGCAGGAAGTTGGCCAGGCACCACCGTGCTCTGGGTGCGAGTCCCGGTGGTGTCCCACACTGGACACCCTGAGCTGCCCCCGCTTGCCCCAGTAGGTTCCCGGCCTTGGAACTGCGGGGCGATGAAAGGGAGTCTGAGGTACAAGGTTTTCCAGCAGGTGTCCAGGTTTCCACGCTCAAGTGTCCCAAGGATGGTAAATGACATGATCCCTATATGTCTAGATGGGTGAGCCTAACGTGCCCAGAGGCTCAGAGAAGCAGCCTGACTTCCCTGACGATGCACGCTAAGGTTGGTCAGAACTGGAACTCACGAAGAAGCCTCTAAAGTTCAGGAGGAGGGGGTCCAAAGGTTTAAAGAGAGACCCCAAAACCACTAAGGGGAAAGAGTAAGAGCGTGGATCTGCTTACCGGCCTCCTCAAACCCCTGGAGCTCACCTGGCCCAGCCACCTGCTCTTGCTAGGCGCCAGTCGGACACATCTCTGGGCCACTTAGAATTGGCCTGGGGTCCCCTCCATTGACCAGCAGCCTTCATGACCCCCAACACCCTCTGCCAGGTGAGGAAGATCTAGCCCTGTCTCCGAGCAAGCCGCCCTCTGCTGGGGTCTGATATCAGGAGTGAAGCTGGCTTCTCTCTGAGCCCGGGGTAGGGGGTGCCTCTCCTACCCAGGTCTGCCTCCTCCAGATCTTTCTGTGAGTGAGCCTCACAGTTCAGGTAGCCATTGATTCCTACTGAAGCCCTGCTCGCTGGTGACCTCAAGGCAGGCAGGAGGAAGCTAAGAAGAGACCAACAGCCAATACAAATGTCACCATTTTTTCTCTGTGTGGGCGATACCCTCTAACTACAGACCTCCCCAGGGTCTCACCCTAAACCGACAGCTACCACTCAGCACACAGCGAGACTGACGTTGGCTGCCCTGGCTGGCTGCTGAAACCCACCTGCCTGGAGAGATTCTTAGAAAGAGGAAAGTCAGTGGGAACTGTGGGGAGGGTAATGGTGCCGCCAGGCACTGAGGCAGGAGCATGGATGGAGCACGGCTTAAAACGGAGAAAGATGGGACAGGCGTGATGGTGCACACCAGTGCTCAGGGGGGAGAGGCAGGAGGATCTCTGGACACTATCAAGTGGGCACAGCGCCAATTCCTCTCTGGGCAGATTTGACAACCCTTCACCCATGCCCTCTGTTTAAGGGCTTGGGGGCATGCCCGGCTGCCTTCAGAGGGAGCTGCTTCCCCAGACTTAAAAAAAAAAAATTTACTTATCTATTCATGTTTTATTTGAATGCACCACATGCATGCAGTGCCTGCAGAGACCAGACGAAAGCATCAGATCTCCTGGAACTGGAGTTACAGACCATTGTTAGCCTCCATGTGGGTGCTGGGAACCGAACGGGGTCCTCTGCAAGAGCGGCCAGTGCTCATAACCACTGAACCATCTCTGCACGCCCCCCATTTTTGTTTTTTGAGACAGGGTCTCACTATGTAGCCCTGGCTGGCCTGGAACTTGCTATGTAGACCAGGCTGACTTTGCATTGAGATCCACCTCTCTCTGCCTCCCCTGCTGGGACTAAAAACATGCGCTACCACATCTGGCCCTTAGAATTATTTTTTTGTTTTGCTACAAGGTCTCACTATGGAGTCCAGGTTGGCCTTGAACCCTCCATCCTCCTGCCTCAGCATCCCAAGTGATGGGGTGACAGGTGCGTAATACCGCAATTGTACTAACAGCCAGTACGCTTCAGTTGTTTACAAGTGGAGAATTCCTCATTCGCAAAAGATGACGGGAGGTTGTGGGCTCTGCTTCTTGGCTGTTGGGCAAACTGCCTGAGCCTCACAAGCCCCAGTTTCCCCATATTAATGTGGGTAATGACCCCACACAGTGAATGCCATGAAGACGGGCATTCTGGTCTCAAGGGAGGGAGGAGACGTGGTGCTTTGTCTCCAGTTCCTCACAGGTGCTGTGTGATCTCAGGCAAATGACTAGACCTCTCTGTGTCTGTGTTGGATTAAACAAGATAGAGCTCCCACTGCACACAGTGCTTGGCACATAGTAGGTTCTCAGAGATGTTTTCAACTTTTCCCTTTAAGATTTAAAGCAGATGCCAGGCCTAGAAACACTTAAGCTTCTGGGCCCCAGTTACTCCAGGGATTTACCAGCTAGAAGGCAGGGCTTCCTGCTCTGGGCAGGGGCTATATCTGTGAGCTCAGAGGGACCCTGTAGAGAATGGGGCTCAACAGTGGGATGAGGACCTCACGTGAGGACCCAGCAGCACTCTCAGGACTGATGGGGTAGGAGCCCTGTCCCGGAAACATTCACAAGGCCACTTGCCCCTCCAGGAGGCAGCCAGAGTCCCATCAGCACTCGCACAAGGAGGCCAGGCGCTGGTGTCCCTGTGGCGTGAGGGGCATGGAAGGCCAGTTCAGGGAGTGAGGAATCATCAGTGCTGGGGAAAAGGGCAGGAAAAACATGGCTGGCTGGAGAACAGCATGTGTGAAGAGAGGAAACTGGGCCAGTCAACACCAAATCCCTGGCTCTACAGGGTGGAGAAGGCTGCAGTGGGGTCGGGGGATGGGTGACAGATCAGCCAAGCATAGCAGTCCTGCCTTCTCTCCCCCAACGTGCTCCGCATGGTCCACTGCCCTGTGTGGTTCCAGCAATCCAGTCTCTTCCTGAAAGCGTGATCTTGCCTGTACTTGCTCTGATGCCCACATCCGCCCCACCATTAGACATGGTGAGGCATTAGTTCTGCCCCACAGGGCCACTGAGGTTCAGGAACACCAAGGAACAGACTGCTCAAGGCGAGTGGGAATGAGAGACCAGAACTTGAACCAGATCTACTCCTCCTAGGCCTGTCCTCTTTCCCGCCTGCTCCGGGTTCCAGATCCTTCCAGAGCTGCACATTTGGAAAGTTCTAGAGAGCCTCTGCTTGGGTTCCCACACTGCTCAGGCCCAGCAACCTGATCTCATTGTCCTGCTGAACTCCAGCCCCTGTTTCCATGGAGACAATAAGTTGACAACCTGGTCCTCCTTCTCCACCCCTGGCCACAGCAGAGGCTAAATTTGTAATGGGGAGGCCAGTGGGATTTGGACACTCAGCCCAGGAAGCTGGCCACTTGCTCCATACAGAGCCCTGATGGCTGCCAGAGCCCGGGGCAGGGGAGTCTGAGCCAGGGAAAATACTCCATGACCAGCTGACTAAGAGGTGTGGAGAAAGTCAGTCCAGCATCTCCCACAGTCACCCCTGTCTCCATGGGATTGTCCTGCCAGTCAAAACAGCCCTGTGTGTGACTTCAGTCCCCACGGTGGGGCAGGGGGGAGGGGTGGCAGAGAAGGCTGAGCAGGAAGCCGTGACCACAGGATAATTGAAGCTTCCCTGGGGTGTGTGTAGCCCTTGAGGATACTGGGAGTCAAATGACAGCAGAGATAAACTGTATGTGAAAGTTTACTCACGTCATGTAGAGGGTACGCCGCAGAGTACACGCCATTGGCCAGAAGGCTGGTGATGCCTTAAAAACAGAGGCAAGGAGAAGTTATGGACCAGCAGGTGTTTCACCCTGCATCTGGAAGTCAGAGGCATCTTGGGGTGCTCTGGATCACAGGGATGTCGCTGAAAGCCAAACACACCGGGCTACCCAGAGCCTGGGCACCATCCTGCGGTCCTTCCCCTGGTAGGACGCAGCAGGGTGAGTGCTATCCGCTAGAGATGACATGCTCGATTGGCAGGGTTAGGAAGACGCAGAGCACACCAAGAGGAAGTTCTGTCCCCATAGAAGGAGGCACGAGCAGCCCAGCCCACCAACTCGCTGGGTCACCCTCAAACCAACAATTCATCAGTTACCCCCACCGGCTTGAGGGCGAGCCTGCGTATAGAAAGATGGCCTCTAAGTGGTCAGAGAAGCTAATCATGAGATGTATGGATGGGGAAATTGATGGTGTCAGGAAAACACACATACAATTTGGAATTAGCTTGTAAGTTGATTGGAAAAGCGGAAGAGGAAGCCCCGGACTTACCGTATTTCCCACACTTCCGCCTTTTACTCAGAAGGGCAGAGTCTCTCTTTCCTCCCTCTCCTTGCCCTGTTTACACATCGGCTATTAGTTACGCGGAAGGGCCTGGAAGGATCAAAGCTACATTTGGGGGAGACAGTGCTGGTGGTGGCCAGGGGCTTATAGTCAAGTACTCGGGCAGCTGGAAGATGACCAGACCCTTGTCGGTTGGCCCCAGGGCCTGTACTGGCACGGGATAAAAATAGCCACACCTACACTTGTGACAGGTACCGGCTGCCCCTGGCTCCTGGCTACTAGAGGAGGGGAGGTAAGCGAAGAGGGTATGGAGCAGGGGATCCTGGGAACCTGATCTTGTTCTGAAAGTCCAAGACCAGCGTCTTGGAGATGTATCTGGATTTCCCCACCCCCACTCGTGATCACTGAACCCCTTGACTGGCACAAGTGACTTTCCAGGTTGCATTGTGTGAGGGTCACACTGTGCAACTTGACTCGGCAGCATTTGGAAAATGACCCAGAAGCCTCTTAAACACAGCCCATCTCCTTGGTCAGTGATCTAGAATGGCCAGGGACACTTAGGAATAGAAACCAGTGGTGGCTAGAGCATCATCCATAAAAAGTCCATCTTCTGTAAGAAGTGGATCTGGGTGGATCCTGGCCTGTGTGATCCAGGACGCGCCCAGGGTGGAACTGCCACCAGGTCCCTTCTCCAGGCTTGCCTGGCATGTTCGTATCTCGGACGCCCCCTTATATGAAAGACCTTCCCTGACCATTGCTCCTGAGTCTCTTGAGTCTCCTCAGCCCCCTCAGCCTGTGAGAAGGTTCTGGTTTATCTGTTTACTTAATATCCATTTCCTTCCTCAAGTACAGAAGTCCCGGAGGGCAGCTGCTGGGACAGGCTGGGCTGGGAGTCCAGCAGGAGCCCATCACCCCTTGATGGAGGGTTTCTAAATGACTTTGGGGCTCCGCGGAGCTCCCAGGACAGGGGCCAATATGAAGTGAGGCTACAAAGCACCTGATCTCCCTCCATCTCCAAGGCCAGGAGAACCATAGAAGCCAGAAAACCAGTGGGAACCAATCCGGATCCTCTATAGACCTCAGGGTCCAGACAGAGTAGGGGTCAGCTCTAGCCCAGTCACCTCCATTCTGGGCTCTAGGGACCTTCACAACAACCACACTTGTTGGTATGACCCTATGGGGCCTGGACTAGAGACATGTATCCTCCCTAGATCTAGTGGCCTTGTCACAGTTCTGCTCTGACAGCAGTGACCTGAATAGTAACCCAAGCTTACCTCACCCCCACACTCAGGGGGCAGGACCTGATCATTCGGGGGGGGGCATGCTGCCTTGAGGGGACCAGGCCAATGGGGACAGGACCCCTGGGCTTTTCTTGTTTCCTGGCTGAGGCCTGCACTCCCACTGAATGGAAGACACAGGCTTAGAGATTTCAGAGTGTCCTGTGGCTGACTGTGGGCCACATCAGTTAGGGCACACACAGTCAAGTCTTCTGAGGCCTGGTGGGATCTCCTCCCTCCCCTTCTCCCAGCCTGGCCTGTCCTGGGATCCAGCCCATCCATCTCAGGCTTGGAGCAGCAGCAGCCATCCTTCCACGGAGGCTGTGGACCCAGCCCTCCCCAGACTCTGCTCTGTCCCCTGGAGTCACAGCCTGGTCGTTGCAGAGGTCCTGTGAGTGAATGACCGAGATCTTGGCTCTGTGCAGGAGGGAGGGGAAGGGGTACCAGGTTCCTCAATGCCCTGGCTCTGGTAGTCTGAAGCTGAGGTGCCAACCTATTGCTTTATGGGGAGCTTGTAAGCTGGCCCCCACGCAGCCCCACTGCGGCTCTGTGGCAGCCTCCTGCACCAGGGTGACTGCCCATGGTGGTGCCTGGCCAAGGGGACACTGCTCAGGGTGAACCCTGGTGAGGCTGTGTCAGCCAGAGCACAAAGCATGGCACACTAAGCAAGGGCTTGGCTGGGTGTTCCCCACCAGGGCTGCTACATCCAGTGACCCTGAACTGCTGTTGGCCTGGGGCCCTCGAGGGACCCTTCATTCTTTCCTGTCAGACTCAAAGGGTCCGACTCTTTGCTGGTTTCCACAGGCTCTCTCTTTGGGACCCTGTCCTTACACCCACAGACACCTTCAATCAAGTGGACAGTACCTCTGGGCATAAAACGCCTGGCCACAAATCTACTGAGGCTCTGGCTGGGTTTTCCTGCCAACTGCCCAGCCACTGAACGTGGACTCAAATGCCTTTAAGAAAGCCCCAAGTCTGCTGCCCGCCTCCCTGGAGAGGGCTTGAGGGCAGGATGACCACTCGGAAACCAACACTGATCTCAGGCCCCAAGAATGCTCTTACCCATGCTGTACTTGGCCTTGGTACATGTAGTTCTCTTCAAGACCTCATAGACCTATGCAGAGGGGAGGAAAAAAAGGGGTGGGCAGTCACTCAGCCGCTCTGCAGGTCGGGGCGGGGGCACAGTCACACGGTGTGGGGGAGGGTCCTGGGCTTGAGAGTCCTGCAGGGCTGAGGCTGGAGACTCCCAGTAGTAAGTCTGGGGGACCTGGGGAGCCCCCACCCTTCACTTCCTGAGCAGGACTGATCCTACGGGCCTCACACAGTGCTGGCCACATGCAGGGGGCATCCACCGCCTTAGAGCGGCAGTGCTGGGGGTGGGGAAGGATGACAGATTTGTCCCCAGTGCTCTGCAGCAGCTCATTGACCCTTTTGTGGACACGTAGGGGGTGAGCAGAGCCCTCCTGCATGCAGCTCTAGATGCACTTGCTGCCGGGGGAGGGGCAGGCCGGGAGCCAGGTCTCTTCTACGACACTGGGCACAGGGACAGAACCCCTCCCATGAAGGGACCCTGCCCTACTCCACACCTCCTTGACTAATGAGACATTTTGTTTATCAGTCCTGGGAGTTCTAGCTGGGAAGTCTGTCTGCCTGGGGCTGAGTTGGGGGATCTTGTACAAACTGTACCATCACCCCATGCCTCAGTTTGACCATCTGCAAAACGGACTGGAAATACAACAGCCATAATCTAAGTTTATTTTTTCCCTTGAGATAAGGCCACCTGTGGCTCATGCTGGCCCAAAGCTCCCTAGGCAGCTGAGGATGACCTTGAACTTCCGTCTCCTGCTTCTACCTCTTGAGGGTCACGTGGTGCTGGGGATTGAACCCACTGTGTATGCTAGGTAAGCGCTCCACCTTCTGAGTTCCAGCCTCACCTCTAGCCAGGGTCTACAGATACGCATATCTCAGAAAGCAGATTCTCCCTCAAAACTCTTTGCTGTGGTCACTCAGGCAAGCCCAGCGTCCCTCCAGTGGCCACCAGCCTGCACTACCTGGCTGTGCCACCACCGTCCCTGGTCACCTCTGTCAGCAACCCCAGCCTCCTTCTGGCCCTCTCTTGGTCTGAATTCCTTCCTGCAGTCTCCAGGTCTCCTCCCTGGCCATTCCTTGAAGCGCCTGTCCCTCCATTTTTTAAAGGCCCCAGGGTCACTGTAACAGGTTCACCAAACAGGCCCTGGTCCCACCCTGTCTTTCCACCCACACTTCACACTTGTTCTGTGACTGAGGCTCTCAGTGTGCCACCCAGACTCCTCCAGTAGAGAGCACACGGCAGGTACTTAAATCATCCCTGCTCAGTTGCTCTCTGGGACCCTTTCCCTGTGATTCCCTCACCATCACCACCTCCTCCTCCCTTCCACCACAATCACCCCTGGGAGTGATCATTCTAGAACAAAGCTGATCATATCCGACCTTTTTGTACAACCTTCTACAGGGCTGCCTGCTGCCCACAGGCCAACTGTCTAAGATCCCAGTGCAGAGCAATGTGTCCTTCTCTCCTGGGACCTGCCGGTGTCTGACTCCAAGTAGCCTGCACTTTGGACCACCCCAATGCCAGGAGTTAAGAGGCCAGTGTGGAGGGAGGGGCTGTCACACCTGGGCCTGGGGCCTGACACCTGGCTAACCACAGACATATCTCTGAATGGACAGAGCCCCTTTGGAGCACAGGGGGTCGTCTACAAACAGGCCGGCAAAGGTCTCTGGGAGGTAGTGTCCCACCTTCCTCCCACACCAGGGGTAAAGGGTTCCCTCCACATTGACCTTCCTGGTCAGTGGCTCTCCTGGTCAGTAGAACCATTAGCAGTGCCCCAGGGGCCTCAGAATCAACAGTTTCACCCCAAGTGGCTGGCATCTGAGAGGGACTAAGGCTGCCACTTGGATGTGCCAGCCCCAGCTCCATCAGGGGCCAAGGAACTTCTCAGACATTCCAGCTCAGTTCCAGCAGGGGTCATAAGTTTTACCCAAGGTCCTTGTTGTCTTTTATCATAAAATCTAATTATGATAATTAATTAATAGTGGGTGGGCAAGCTGGGTGTGGTGGCGCACGCCTTTAATCCCAGCACTCTGGAGGCTGATGCAGGAGGTCTCTGTGAGATTGAGGCAAGCCTGGTCTACATATTGAATTCCAGGCCAGCTACAGGACTACAGGGAGACTGTCTCATAAAACAACAACAACAAAAGAAACGAACGAAGAAGAACTGGGTGGGCGAGATGGCTCAGAGAGTAAAGGAGCTTGTCGTCAAGTCTGCTCGATCCCCAGAACCCACATGGTAAAAAGAGAGCTGACTTCCTCAAACTGTCCTCTGACCTTGCACAGGCACACCATGGCACACACTCACCCTCCATAAATAAAATACAAAATAAAGTTGACGTTACCACTGGTAATAAGAACCATGACCACATTGGCACCCTGATGGAGCTGCCGGCTGCCCTGTGCGGGACAAATTAGATTCGGTCTGGCCCTGACATGGGCAGGCAGGGGCAGAAGACGGACACATTTACCTGTTCTGGGTCTGAGTTCCCCCATCACAATGACCCGCACCACCCCCCTAGAGTTGACCATCTGTCTCAGGGTGGTGTCAGCAAGGAGAGTTATCCCCGCCAGGTCACCCTTGGCCTCCTCCCGGCCCTCGCCAGGCTGGATACCCTGAGCCACAGGGAACAGGAGTGAGCCTCAGCTGCCAGGCAAAATTCTTGTTTAGACAGAAATTGGGTCCTGTGCCACGCACAGCCAAGCTTGGCTGGCAGCCAAATTGGCGGCTGCTGGATAAACACTCAGCTAGCTAGTGGTCTGAGGAGGGCAGGGCGACTCGCTCAGACTGCACACCTAGGCCAGCCTCACACACATGCCCCTGGACCTGAGCCATCTGTTGGGCACCCTGAGCCAGGCGTCCACCAGGCCCCTAGTGAACTCCTCGGGGACAGAGTGGCGTCGGGGCTTTAGGGTATCCAGGCCCCAGGAAGGCTTTGGGGGAACTTGGCTTGGAGGCTCCCTCCTCCCCCTCCCGATGCTCTGTTCTTCTCACACTCCTCCTCCTCCAAGCCGAGCAGCCTGGGCCTTAGCCATCCCCCAGGGCCGCCCGCTGCCCTCCCAATTCATTATTCTAATTATTTCTGTCACAGGCAATTAGAGCTGGCTTCCACCCCAAGGAGTTTCAGCAAAATGAAATGATCATCGGGGTCCCCAGGGGGCCCCTCTGATGAGGCCTTTCCGAGACGCCCACTTACTATTGTGCTCCGGGTTTTGCTGTCAAAAAAGGAGTCCCTGTCCGATAGGTCAAATCTGCAGAAACAGGAGACAAGGCTTTTGCTACAGGCTTCAGGGGGCTCCAAGCCCTGGAGTGCACCCCCTCCCCAGGGACCACAAGGAGGCCTAACCGTCCTCACAGCACCACGAGTACCTGTCCCCGTGCTTGGGGACTGTCGGTGTCATTGAGCCCCATGCGGGAGGCTCTGCTGGGAAAGGACCTGAGGCAGGTGCAGAAGGACTCCCTCCAGCTTTGATTTTCTTTTGTTTTATTTGAGACAGGGGCTCACATAGTCCAGGCTGGCCTTGAACTGGCTGTATAGCCAAGGTTAACCTTGAACTCCTGATCATTCTGCCTCCACCTCCTGAGTGCTGGGATGACAGGTGTAAGCCATCACATCTGACAAGGACTTCTTTTCATGACACCTTCTTGCCAAGCAGTTTTTATGGCCTCTGCTTTGGCGATAAGACATGGGCATGGGGTGGAGACAGTCTCAGCTTTGAACACACTCTCCTTGGAAATGATTTGTGCCCAGATGTCCGGAGCCACACAGGGACTGCCCAAGGGTTTGGGGGACACAAGTGTACCTCTGAAGTCACTGTTCCCTGGGATGCTCAGGGTGGCAGAGGGTGATAATGTACTGGGTGTCAACAACAGGTGTGTTTCCCTTTGCCCCTGAGTTGGTAAAGATTGCTAGGCAGCATGTCCAGCCCACCAAAGACTGCTTAATGTAGTTGGGACATCACACGATCCCCTCAGAAGCTACTACCATTGCTGGGGAGAGGCCCGAGCTCTGAGTCAAGGTGCTGGTACATGCTCCCGGCTCGTCTGCCACCCAGGAGGCCACAGTGCCCAGCAGCTCCTGTCCCCTGGGGCTTGCCATCCAAACTACCTCTGAGTTCCTGGCACCCAAGCCTTCCACTCCCACCTCTACCCAGCGAGGCCTGGGGCGGGGGGGCCTTGCAACAACAGCCGAGCCGAATGGCAATGCCCCACTGGCCCCTGGGAGCAGGATGGATGGAAGGTTGCAGAACAGGTTTGGCACTGCCAGGCAACGTGCTGCTGGCTGTGGGTCCTCAGGGGCTTGGGGCTCCTGTGGGGGAACCTTCTCGATCCATTGCTGCTTGCTCAGCTGCGTAGGCAAGGAGGTGTGGTGAGAAGTCAGCAGTCACTGGGGTGTGGTGGCCTGGACCTCTGCCCCAGCAAGGACCCACATGGCATGCCCTAAGTGTTACCGAGTCAGCTGGAACTCTGTGTTCCCTGTTTCCCCCAAGAGCAGGGACCTTAGAATTCATTTCCTCAGTCTCTGGGCTCAATAGCTACAGGGCTCTTATAAGAACACCTCTCGTCTTTGGGGGGGTGGGAGGCAGGGAGTCACCCTGCACTTTGGCTCACAGGTGTTGCTTCTCCCTTGAGAAGGGGTAGGAAAGCCTCTTGGTGGTCTGCGGCCTGTGCTCGGCCACCCTGGGCTGGATGGGGTCTGTGATCTTCTGCAGCACGGAGTTGATGGTTTTCAGGAGCCCTCGGGTCTCACTGATGTGATACACCTGTGGGCAACACGGGGCAGGGACACAGGTCACTGACTGTGGAGTGTGATGCTTAACTGCTGTTTAACTTGACAGGCTCGGGCATCACCACAGACTAACCTCTGTGAGGGAGTTTCTAGATTAGGTTTACTGATGAGGGAAGACCCACCCAGAATGTGGTCCCAGACTGAACAAAAAGGAGAAGCGAGCTGAGCACCACCACACATCTCTCTCTGCTTCCTGTGTATGCAACGTGACCAGCTGCCTCATGTCCTGCCGTCGTGCCTCCCCCACCTTGATGGACTGAACCCTCCATCATTAGGTAAGTTGTTTTTGTTGGGTATGTTATCACAGTAAGTGTGAAGTCACTAAGACAGAGGGTCCATTCTCAGACAGTCAGAAAAGCACTTCACATGTCCTGGGAACAGAGTGCTGGGGGGCCAGCGTGCCCCCCTCCCTGCTCTGTTTCAAATGCACTCCAAGAGCTTAGCACTTTAGGAGAGTCGGGCCAACAGCTCAACTATAAAACATTCTAGAAAACATTCGTCCAAAACTTTCCTTTTGTTTCCAAAGTCATAATCCCAGTGGCTTTGGTGGATCTGAGAAGCCTCAGCGGGTCTCTCCCTTCCATCCACCCATGTAAATATGACTCTCAGCCCAGCTTCCTGGCAAGCTGCTCTGTAGCCATAAAAATTTCAGAGATTAAAAGGAAAAATCCCAGCAAGCTAGGAAATGTAATTAAATAGAATCTGATAAATTATTGGTTGATCCCACAGGCATCAAAGCCAAACTATATTTTCATAGCAAATTCCTGGAACTGGGCTGGCAGCATTTCTTCGTGGACCCTCCCCTGGGGGGCTGTGGGCTATGGTCTCTTTTTTCTTTTTTAAAGATTTTTATTTATGTATATGTGCATGTATCTGTGTGTGGGTATGTGCACCACATGTGTGAAGTTCCCCCGGAGGCCAGAAGAGGGTGGTGGATCCCCAGGAGCTGGAGTTACAGGTGGCTTTAAACCATCCCGTATGGGTTCTGAGATCCAAACTCCATTCCTCTGCAAGGGCAGCAAGTACTCTTAACTGCTGAGCCATCTCTCCAACCCCTGATAGAGTGAGTGTCTCTAAAGACCATCCAGAGCAGGGTTAGATGCTTCAAGATGTGGATCTGTCCCACTTTGTCCCCATGCCCTCTCTGCTCTTCTAAGTGATGAGGAGCTGTGGTGATGATTCTGCCTCCAGGTGCCCTCATGCCAAGACTTGTGCTTTGGAATAGAAATGCCCCTACTTACCTTCTTAGTTGGCATTTTCAGCTTCAAAAACTCCGCCTCCCTACAGAGCACATGCCAGGGTGCATGGATCTTCACAAACCCAACGCCGTGGATTTTGGTCTGAGAGAGAAGGGGGGGTCTCAGTCTGGGTGGTGAGGCGGTTGGAACCCCTTTTTACCTTGGCCCCCTGCTGTGACCTGTGTGTGTGTGGGGGGGCTGTTTCTGCCTTCGTCGGTCATCAACCCCACCCTGAGAACAGCCAGTATTGGTTGGGACCTTCCTTGTACATAGCTCTTTGTGCAGGGCACAGGGGGCCCCAGATCACAGGGGAACACTGGAATCTCAGGGCGTTCAAAACACAGGCATTTTCAGTGGGTTAAGTGACAGACCCCAAAGAACTTGGGCTACAACAGGGGACCCTTCAGGACTCCAGGCCCACAACCCTCTACTTTGACCTGGGGCTCTCAGGGCCTGCTGGGCGCACACCCCTGTGGGTCTTGCTACCCTTTCTGCCTGCTGTCAGCCTAACTTCATATTCCCTGCCTGTCTGTGACCATTATCCTCAAAGAATCGACAGCCTGACACCAGGTCACCAAGAGTTCAAGTTCAGGTCCTTAAAAGGAACTACTTTGAACTTGGACAAACAGGATGGTTAGGTCTGTCTACTTCCCTGGGAAGGGAGTTTCAATGAAGGAATGTCAAGGTTAGAGTGGCCTGGGGGCATGTCTGCGGGGGATTGTCTTGCTAAGTGGGAAGACCTGCCCACTGTGGGTGGCACTGTGCCCTGGGCAGGCGATCCCGGATTGTAGGGGTGGAAATGGCTGGTAGAGCAGGGCACAGTGTCCATCTGTCCATGCTCTTTTTTAAAAAAGTTTTCATTTTTTCTAATGTGTATGAGTGTATCGCCTGCATGTATGTAAGTGCACCCGTGTCGTGCAGTGCCCTCAGAGGTCAGAAGAAGGTGTCAGATTCCCCTGTTAGAGACAGTTGTTAGCCACCATGTGGGTGCTGGGAATCGAACCCAGGTCCTCTGCAAGAGCAGCCAGTGCACTTAACCGCTGAGCCATCTCTCCAGTCCCATCTGCAGTTGACTGTGGTGTAACGTGCCTGATGTCTCTCAACAGTGGGCTATCCCCTTGGATTATAAGCCAAATACCTGCCTTCCCTTAAGTTGCTTCTGTTAGGTATTTTATCACACCCACAAGAGTGCCAGCAAGCTACGTCTGTGCTGTCAGGCTTGGCCTCGAGGGCCACTGACAGGCAACTGAGCCAAGGCTTCATAAGAACCCATCTTTACCACCAGCTGAACCTTCCAGAGGGGAACATCAAGGCCTGGAGAGAAGTCCCCCACAGCTGGCAGCATCCAACCAATTCAGACATAGGCTGTGCTGCCCAAGGATGAGACTGCCACACCTAGGCCTCAGAGTTCTACAGAGACACATGTCCTTCGAAGAATGGTCTTCATTAGGAGACAGAACATGCGGGCACCATCCAGACCTTCCACAGGACCCTGCTGGAGTGCAGCCTGAGAGTCCACAGACCTCCCCTGTGCACTGTTCTGAGAGTCAAGGGGGCTTGCAGCGGGGCCTGCCCTACCTCAGGACCATAGGCCAAGTGTGTGGCCCAGACAATCAGTGCAGTTCAGGTTGTGGGCCTAAAGCACCAGGTCCATGTCACCTGAGGATGACCTTTCAGAAAATATCTGGGAGGCCGAAGCGGGAGGACTGTGGGGAGTCTAGAGCTACAGTGAGTTCTAGGCCAGCCTGGGCTACATAGCAAGACTCTGGCTCCAATCAATCAATCAATCAATCAATCAATCAATCAATCAATCATCATCATCAATCATTAATTATCTAATGTCAGGGAAGGCTGTCCACAGCGGGGAGAGCTTACATTTGGCAGAAAGAGGCAGCTCAGGGCTGGGGATGTGGCTCAGTTGGTATAGTGCTTACACAGCATGCATCAGGCCCTGGGTTCCATCCCCAGATGTGCACTGGGTGTGGTGCACATCTCAGCTCTCAGGAGGACCAGGCAGGAAGACCAGGAGTTCAAGGTTATCCTCATCCTCACGTGGAGTGTCAGGCCAACCTGGGCTATTGGAGACCCTGCCTCAGAACAAATACATACCAAGGGAGGGAACGTTCCCTAAGAGCAGGCCCTCCTCCAGTGACACCACCTTCTTATTTTGACCTTCCTCTTCTGCCACACAGCAGGTGTGCCTCAAGTACCAAATGAATCAACGAATCAAGAGATGAATGAAGGATGCCCAGGAAGGCCGCCGCCCACTTCCTGCAGAAGCCCTGTCTACACACCCCTTGTGCTCACATTCACTGACTCCTCTCAGCAACCATCTGGGGCAGGTCCCACCAACCGTGCTGTTGGACCTTTTACAGCTGGGGAAACTGAGGCACCGAGGAACAATCTCTGCTAACTTGTTGCATTAGTGTCCCTGGACTGTTCTAACGAATGCCCCCAGCTGGTTGGCTTGAGACACTGGGAATGTACACAGAAGTCCCAAATCTAGCTGTGGTATGGCTGTGGTCCCTCTGGGGATTGTAGGGTCCCTGCTCCTTCCAGCTCGTGGGGCCCCAAGTATTCTTTGGCTTGTAGCTATACCATCCCAACCTCTTCCTCCATGGTTATCTGGCTCCCGCCAGGGAGTTCTCAGCAACAAATGCTTAACACAATTCCATCTGCAGACACTGTTTCGCAACGGGGCCATGGAGTCAGGCCCGCCTGAATTCTGCTTTGCTCAGACATCTATGGGTTGGATCTTTGTGAGGCTTTGTACCAGAGCCTGCCTGAGAGGTAAGGGGCGTTTTATAGTTCAGACCCACAACTGGGACCCTGCGCTGCCCCCTCGAGGGGGACAGCAGGACTGGGAACTCAGGCATTTGGGCTTAGGGCCAAGGCTCAGTGGTGCATGGTGCTGGGCACGCCTGGGAGGCCAGAACCCAGGGCTGGAGGGCTTTTGTCTACATGCCTGGCCTCCCTGTGTGAAGAGATACATCTCATTCTGTGATAGGAGAGGCTACCCTGGGGCTTCCAGGACCTTCTGTTTTCCATGGTTTCCCCATGGTGGCATGGGTTTGGGAGGCTTTAACCAGAAGCTAGCCTGGGTGGTCTCTGGCAAGTGGTCTCTGGTCCCCATTCTGTTCCCTCATCTATAAAGCAGGGGATATGAGGCCTGGTTTGCAGTCAGGGCTCTGGTGCCCTTAGGAGTCCAGACCCAGTCTTGGGCCTGCAGACAGAGCCCGAACAAGGGGCTGAAGGAGCCCAGCACAGCCTCTCCCTGAGCACTAGGCAGGCGAGACCACGCCTGCTTCAGCCGGCCTTGCTAGAGCGTGTCCCCAGCCCCAGTGACTCACAAGCTGATGTCATGGGACACCCCTGAGTCAGGAGAGATGGTCGCTGCGGCCCACGTGTGGCAAAGCCTAGCTTTTCCCACTGTAGCCCTGGGTCATCTCTGAGCAGTGTTTGCCCGCACGCAAGGACCCAAAATATTCTCCCCAGGAAAATTCTCCCTGGGAAAGAGAGCCCTGCTGACGTGAGCAACAGGGCTTCTCCCAAGGAAACATCTGGTGAGATTTGGAAAAGGGGTCGTGGGACCCATTCAGCAAAAATACACTAAGATGTTTTAAAACGTGGTAGCCAGCCTGACCACAGCCCACTGGAAGGAGCCTGGGGGATGGCCAGATCCCCTCAAAGGTTTTGTTCCTGGACTGGTGCTGGTCCCAAAGGCATTTGAAGTCACAGATTCATGGACATAAGACAGGGAGGGCACCACCTGGCCAGGCCACTGTATAGGTCCCCAGCCAGAGGACCTGGGAAGGTCAGAACTGAGTCTGTATAGAACGCAGACGAACAGTTCAGTGCCTCTAAGCCCGATGTAAAGAAATCTGACCTCACTAGAGTTGGTTTTAGTTGTCGTTTTTTTTTGAAAATTCTTTTGACTTATTTATTTTTATTTTATGTGTGAGTGTTTTGCCTGCATGTACGTGCAAGTATTCATGTCATGCTATGCCCATGGAGGCCAGAAGAGGGAGTCAGATTCCTCTGGAACCAGACTTACTGATAGTTGTTGACCACCACTTAGGTGCTGGGAACTGAACCTGGGTCCTCAGCCAGAGCAGCCGGTGCTCTTAACCGCTGAGCCGTATCTCCAACCCCTCTAGTTCTTTCTTCTCAGTTGGGCATAGTGGCTCACTCCTACAATCCCAGCATGTGAGAGGCAGGAGGTTTGCTATAAGTTCAAATGCTGTTGCATGACACCAACCTAGGTTACACAGTGAGTTTTCAGGCCAGCCTGGGCTACAGAGTGAGACTCTGTCAAAATCAAAACAAACAAAACAAGACTACAACTTCCGCCAGCACTGTGGTACAGCCTGTAATCCCAGATAGAGGAGGAGGAGGAACAGGAGTTCAAGGTCAGCTTTAGCTACATAGCAAGTTCAAGACTAGCCTGGGCTACAGTAGACACTGTCACACTGTCTCAGAAATAACAATGATAAAGGAAAGAGAGAGAGAGAAGAGAGAGACCACAAACAAAAGTCACAGAGCTTGGGCATGGTGGCATACACTAATCCTGGCACTCAGGCTGCAGAGGCAAGCCAAGCTCTGTGCTTTTGAGACCAGCCTGATCCACATAGCAAGTTCCAGGCCAATCAGAGCTACATAGTGAGACCCTGTCTCAAAGAAAAAAAAAAAGCTATGTGGAAACCTACTATTATAGAAATTTCTTAAACATATATTTATATGCCCCTACTAGACACCACAGGTTAGCAAACAAAAGCCCAATACCAGGAATGACTCCCTCTTTTGAAGCTTGTTGACCAGGCATTCAATAGACCCTCAAACAATACTGGGTGCTCTTGGTTACCCACCAGCACGTGACGCTAAGACCCTACTGCTGAAGACACTGCTTGCATACACGAGATGTAGAACAAACAAGGAGAAATCAAGCTGGTGCTGACTTCAAAGCCTCGTCTCTACTGTCTGGCTTTTATAATGTTGGGAGGTGCTGTGCATGCTACCTGAAGAGAAAATCAATCATCCTCACCCAGCTGTGACTCCTGTGAGCTACAACAAACAGCCTGGCAAGATCGTCCACCAGTGCAACAGTGGCACAATATTATGGGAGGACCCAACCACTGTCTAATTGTATTTAAGTTCTGCTTCATAAGATGAAGCCCATACCTGACACTGGTATCAGGGCTAGGAACATGTAGCTATTCGGGACACAGGCCATAGGAGAGAGTCTAATACTATTATTCTACGAAATAGTTATAATATTAAATTGTTGTACCCACAGATTAATGCATCTCTCGACTCTCACCAGAGAAGTTTCCTTATGCAGCAGATGGTGATTAACACAGAGACCCACAACTGGGGACCGAACAGAGAATAAGAGATTGCAGAGTGGGGGGCTGGAGAGATGGCTCAGCAGTTAAGAGCACTGACTGCTCTTGCAGAGGACTCGGGCGTGATTCCCAGCACCTACATGGCAACTACAAACTGCTTGAACTCCAGTTCCAGGGGAATCCAAAGCCCTCTTCTGACCTCCGCAGCATTGCATGACACGGGTGCACTCACATACATGCAGGCAATACACTCATACACATAAAAAAATTAAAAAAATATTTTAAAAAAGAGATTGCAGAGTGGTCATCTGAATAGGACACCTATAGCAAACTTCTGTTTCCCAAGGCCCAGGGATCACTGCCGAAGGGGGGCGGAAAGATTGTAAGAGCCAGCGGTGGTGGATGACCACAAGGAGACAGTTTTCCAGACAGCTGGGCAGTTTCTCCTAAGAGCTCACAGCAATGGTCACAGCATGCACAAGTGCCATGCAAGTTCAGGTTAGACAACAGAACCCCAGCACAGATGTGGGGATGTGGGTACGAAACCCCAACACTATCTGAGACACTACTGGCAATTGATGGCTGCTGGGAAGGGGAGAACCAGTCTCTTTTAAGGGTGTGACTCTTGGTAGGTCAACCAGGCTCCAGTGCATGGACCCACACTGAAGGGCATTTGGGAACATAAATTTGGCTCTACAGGCCTTACACACACACACACACACACACACACACACACACACACACACGAGTATATGAAATTAGGCAGGGGGCTAGTAAGGGGGTTACAGATAGAGGAGGGAATCTAAATATGATCAAAATATATTGTATGAATTTCCCCAAAATTCAATAAAAACGAAAACAAACAAAAAACCACAGAGATCCCATAAGGGATTCCTGGAGGGAGAAGAGACACCAAGGGCCCCATCCCTGCCCCACTGCCTGCGGGCCTGTGTACTGGTCAACGTGGCAGCCCGGGGATACCCAATGCCCTGAAGCCTGCCTGCCTTTCCCACTGGCACCAGCCCCTATACAGATGTGAGCTGGGGCAGACTGGCTCACTCAGGTATGTCTCTTGGATGTTAGAGGGCACACAGCACAGAATAGGAATTTGCAGGTATCCAGGGACTGAGAGAGGTGAGGGAGGGGCCAGTCTCTACCGAGCGCCCACTGTGTGCCAGCCCCAGCATCTGACCCCAGTTCCTTCTCTCAGACCTCTTTGCCCGCCTCAGAGTGTCCCCATGGGTGAACACGAATGAGGGGTTGGGAAGGTCTGCAGACACTTGGCCTGCGTGCTCAACCAGCAGGCGTGGTGTGGGAACTCAGCCCAGGACTCATCTGCCTCATTTGCTCCACCCCTCCACTCACACAGCTCCGAGACATGGTGTGGTTCATGGGGCTGAGATATGTTGTCACCAGAAAGGGCCTGGATGGAGAAGCATTGTGTACTAACCAATGTGTGCGCAGCATGTACTGAAGTCCGTTTGTAGTGTGAGGGAAACCTGACTTCCCATGGCATGAGTGTATGGGTGTACATGTGTATCGGGGGTGGAACTGCCCACCCATTAAAATGGGATTTCTTAGCATCTCGACTCTCTTCTCAGATTGAGTCTTGGGCACTGGGGAGCCACAGACTGGGTCTCAGTGGGTGAACCAGGCTCAGGTACGCTTTGCCAAGAGTGTGGCCGGGGATTTGTTCGCCTCCAGTCCTGCTGAGCCTGGCCCCAAGGCCTGCTAGGTGAGATCGAGTCACACCTCTGCTTCCACTGAAGGCCGAACAATCTCTCCCCGAGGCAACCCTCCTTGGAAAACTGAAAAAAAAATGCTGGCCACAATGAAAAAAAAAGATTAACACCTGTAAGAGTCTGAACATCTAGAAACTGGGCAGGTAGTGAGAGCAACAGACCCCGAGAGCAACCGTGTCTTCACGGGGTGGCAGCTACCTGTCGGTGTGATCAGGCCTGGCTTGAACCGGCCTCAGTGCCAGCCACTCAAGGTGGGAAGGAATGGGCGTAGAGACTCTCCCTCATGGAGCAGTGCCCCCTCAGATGGTCCTGCAGAGTCCCTACAAAGGAACAGCTGTGTTCCTTGGACTTTAGGGTAGCAGGTTGGTGGCTCTGGGAGAGTGTGAGGATGGGGGAGGATTTACACCTGGGAAATGGGCAGAGTCCACCATTCAGCCCCCAGCCTCCTGTGAGCATGCCCACTGCCCTGGCTCATCCCGAAGAGCAAGGAGAAGAGAAGGGGAGGAACGGAGCCCAAACACCTGAGACGGGTGAGGACTTCACCCTGACCGTAGCCGCCTTTCCCAATTGGGCAAGTGCATCCCAGGCTTGGGAAACCCCACAAGGTTCTAAGAGAAAGCCAAGTCCAGGGGTAGGCAGACACTGTCAGGGAGAGCAAGCAGAGCCCAAGGGTGTAGACAGCCCAGGGACACAGGGAAAGCAAGCCCAGCCCACGGTATAGACAGTCTAAGGACATGGTCTTGGCTGGAGACTGTGAACACATTAGATGGATGACAGGTCAGCTCTGCTCACCTCATTTAAAGATATAAACGTCAAGACAGGAAGGTCTGCACTGGACAGGAAACCATTAAAAAGTGACACAGCAGACTTGGGAAAGAACCAAACAGAACTTCTAGAAATTCAAAGGATTGGACTGAGAACTAAAATCCTGATGCTAGGTGGGTGGGCAAATACCTCCTGTGAGAGCAGGAGGAAAAGAGGGGACAGGCAAGGGCAGCCCAGTGTGTTGGACACGCTTGCTGAGTCCTCCCGTGAGCCTCCCTGCCTCAGCCCACTTAAGATCCCTGAGTACTAAGAACAGCAGACAGATTTCCCGGAAGAGCTGAAGGGCTCCTTTGGGCCTGGCCACAAAGAGACCTCAGAAGGCTGCCACAATGGTTAACAGTTCACCCAAGGGGGCTGGAGAGATGGCTCGGTGGTTAAGAACACCGACTGTTCTTGCAGAAGACCTGGGTTCGAATCCCAGCACCCACATGGCAGCTAACAACCGTCCCTAACTCCAGTTTCAGGGAATCCGACAGCCTCTTCTGACACGGGTGCACTTACCTACATGCAGGCAATACACACATATAATAAAAATTATAAATAAAATATTTTTTTAAAAAAGAGTTCACCCAAAACCGCCTGCCTGCCCCCAGCCCAGGGCAAGCTAAGCACTGGGCTGGCAAGAACTTTAAAGACGCAGCCGTTAGGGCTGGGGAGACGGTGCAGTTGGGGGAAGTGCTGAATGTGGTCCCCAGAATCTATATAAAAATTCTCAGGGCTGGAGAGATGGCTCAGCGGTTAAGAGCAATGCTGCTCTTGCAGAGGACCCGGGTTCGATTCCCAGCACCCACATGGTGGCTACAAACCGTCCTAACTCCAGTTCCAGGAGAATCCGAAGTCCTCTTCTGACCACCACGGCATTGCACGACACGGTGCACCCACATACATGCAGGCAATACACTCGTACACACACAAAAAGTTTTCTCGGGCATAGTGGGACATGCTTGTGAAGCCAGTGCTGGGGGGTGGCAGGCAGCAGGAGGATCCCTGGGGGCTGGGCAGCCAGTCTAGCCTAATCAGCGAGCTCCAGGCCAGTAAGAGGCCCTGTCTCAAAGAACAAGGTGGACAGGACCTGATGAAGGACAACGGGGGCTGTCCTTGGGCCTCTACACACACATTCACACACTAGCCCCTGCACACACACAAATCCAGAATTCACAGCCATGAAAGTATATTTCTGCACAATCAGGTTAGAGGGGCGACAGTTTGCACTGCTTTGACCCTCAAGAAGCTCCGGGGGTCTCCAACCTTCTGGAGCCAAAGAAAGCGACCTGTGGTAGGAAAGCTGGGGGTGCGAACTCCAAGGGGCCTGGACTGGGAGCTCCGGCATCCCAGCATGCAACAGGCCTGTTCGTTCTTGAGGGAGGCTGCCAGGGGCTACAGGCATTAAGGGGAACAGCTCCACGTAGAGCTCTGGGACTGGTCTTTTAAGCCTGTTCTACACGATGTACTTAGATCTAACTCTGCACCTCACTGCAGCTCAGAGGCACCCCTCCCCGTGTCCCCCAGCTTGGCATAAGTGCAGTGGCCTGAGATCAAACAGATGCTGGTGGGGATCTGGGTCTACGGCCTCAGTGGAATCTGCCAAAGCCAGGGTCAAGTGCAGTGTCGGGGCAGTGAGGGCCCCAGCCACCCCCAGCAAACACAGCCAGGACTTGAGCTTGTGTTGCTCTCAGTAATGACCCGGTGGACATAAATATCGCCCAGCAGGCTTTGAGGCTCCTTCAAAAATGCTAATGGGTTTTCTTGCAGGAAAACATGTTGGCTACAAATTTCTCTTGTCTCTTTAATGGGAACCTTAGAAGCTGGCCCCACAGGGAGAGGAGGGGGAGGGAGAGTCAGAAACAGAGGTGGGGGGGAAGTAGAGGAGGAGGGAGTATGAGAAAGAGAGAGGGAGAGTGCAAGGCCTCCCCTTTGCTGGATGAGTGTCTGCTCCACCCCCCAATTGTGCCATCACGCTCCCCCCCATGCGGTCATCCAGGGGTCCCCGACCCTCCAAGTGCAGTGGCTGGCAAAGGCCATCTTCCTTCCTGCCCTCCTGGCCTCTCTCTGAGGTGTTCTAGAACCTTGGCCTGGGACCACCTCTGGGGGATGGAGCAGCAGGTAGGTGTCCTTCTCTGGAACCATCTGGTGCTCTGTTATGACTCAGGAGACAGCAAAGGACCCCAGGACTGTGACAGTCACAGCCCACATTTGGATAAGCCCATGGGGGGAAGCCCCGGTGTGTCCTGGCCCCACGCGGAGGCAGGTCATCCCAAGGCAGCCCGCCTGCTCGTCTAAGCTGTCAGTCTTGCTCTGCTCACTGACACAGGAGCTCTGCTTGCCAGTCAGCCACTCCCATCCCCCCTTCAGGGTGGAGCTATATCTATGGGGTGGGCTGAGCAGACAGTGCCCCTCAACACACATGCTGCGACCCAGGACT